TGGCTCCACTTTGGGGCCTAGGGATTTTGTGTCTCACATGTAGATGGCAATGTATGGCAACAAGTTGAGCAATAGAAGATAAACTCAAACCTGTATCAATCAACACGGAGAGAATAATAGAAGACATTTTGTTATAAAAACAAGTTTGGAAAGTAAACAATGAATGAACTAATGCCGAGTGAACTTCTTGATGATACTTCTAAAAGAAAAATGGAGGGTCACTAACTTATTTGTGCAAATTCCCTCTATTACTCACTTGACTCTTTGTTTTATGGATGCATCTCAGTGTCCAGATTTTCCACTGTAGTAGCACTAACAAAACATTGTTGATGCCAAAGTCTCCACCCAAGAAATGGAGGTTGCTAATCCGAAAAACGCCAATAATGTTAATAATTATGACCAACTTCATCACACGCCTAGCAACAAACAGTACAACCACAACTACATCCTTGCCCTTGTCCTTGAACTTGAGCAGTAGCATCATCAACCTCCATTGGAACATGACTATCTCCCATAAGGAGTGGAGCTGAAAGATGTGCAGCTAAAAGAAGAGGTGACATCTCATAATGTTGTGCCAAATGAAGGGCATTGTCAAAAGTGGCTAGAGCAAATGCATGCATAAGTCTTATAAGATCTTCATGAAATTTTAGCCATAACATTTTTAGCTTGATCCGCTTCAACATATTTGCTTTGCATAAAGCAAGAAGCTTTGGAAACAAATGCCAAATTGCATCACTAACTCAGATAGCCATTGACAAAGACAATGCAATTGTTGGAAGACATCATCACAATCATCAACATGTCCAAATGTGCATTTGAATACGTCTGGGAGAATATTCTAATCCTCACAAATGGCTGCACTCAAACCATTATATCACTGCAGTGTCGTCCCTTAGAAACATGTGGGAAACTCATGCGAATGTCAAGAATTATTCTAAGAACGATATATAGAAATCACTATGAACCATCGAACCAATGATACATATCATCCCTAGGATTCCCATGAAAGAACTCCAGCCAAACGCGAAGATTGGCACTAAGAGCAAGAGAAGCTATACCACGTGCTGTGAATGTTACTATCAACCAAGTTTGGTTGTTCTACTACAATTATATAGCATCAAACAATTGCACTAACTGTTGTTCCAGAGTCAAAGGAGGAGGAGATTGTTACTCTACCATGAAGATGAATGAAAAGGAAATAGTAAAAGAAAAGAAGTTAGACAAAAAGGAGATTTAGATAATGCAAAAGTTAGATCTAAACCAAAATCCCAAATCCAAGCACTCCTTAGGGAAAACCAGAAATACCCCTCACCTCCACTAATATGAGTGTATAAAATATGGGAAGGGAATACAAAAAATATACATATCAATTAGCCTAAAAACTCTAGCTTATATACAAGAGCAAGTGGTTTGGATTGAAATCAATCTGATGGCTACCAAAATCCCATTATGCTAATATTAGTATATGGCATCGTAGCTGTACACTTCAACCTCACACTATGTTTATTTATATAATATGCAAAAAGATATTAAAAATATAGAACACAGCTAGATCCACTATAAACCTTAATTTTTAAATTACAAATTTTGTAGACATTATAAAGTTTATAATGTTAACTTTAAACTACAACTGAAATTTGAACTCAGCTTGTGAGCTCAAGAGTGGTCAAAAGACCTAAGATCCTCAACATATTACTAATATATATATATATATATATATATATATATATATATATATATATATATATATAGATATATATATAGATATAATCCTCTATTCAAGATGTTGGAAGTGATTGTTTATACTTAATACTAGACAACAAGTGGCAATCTCTAAAATATTTTATTCATATGACACTTGATGGATTTCTAGGTAATAATAAAATGTTAATTACATATTATAACAAAAAAGATTATATTAGTTTATAAACCAATAGTGAAGTTAAATCAAGCACTAATTTGGATAGATCCATTTTTGGTTCTTTTGATTGTTGATTGTAACTATGCACTTTTAGATTGATAGTCTTTCAAAACAATTCTCTCAACAAGCATATCTTATGCTATTAAAATCTTTTTTTTTCAGAGGATTTTATTATTTTTAAATGTTTCCTTTCAGCAATCAAAAGTTTTGAAGCTATCAATGAGTGGAAAATATATATGTAAATGTTTTATGGTTTGTTGTTTGGATAAAAGCAAAACATCTAGAAGAAAACATATATAACTGATTAGAAGAGGATGATTCGATGATTTTATATGGTAAACTTCAAAAATTAAAATAGTACACATCATAACATTTAAGAAATAAAGCAACATATAAATGTTTTTAGAGTTAACTCTGATGCTATATTTTACATGATGTTACTATAAATCACAGCTATATAGATTTAAAAACCTATAATTTAAACAGTTAAAACAGCATAGAAAGTATAATCCCTACTATTAGAAATATGTATAGATACACTCCAAGTGCCATGGTGATAGGATATTGCAATAGAGCTACAAATATGTGCAATAAAATGGAAGCTAGCATTAGGCAGATAAATCCATGCATTTGTATGTAATAGCAATCTCATAGCACACAACACTTAGAAAGTGTGACAGTCCCAATAAAGCGATGGTTGCATTTGAAAAAATCTAGTGTGAAACATTTTAATTGCAGCATTTACTTACTCAAAGTGCAAGATTGATCAAAACCCTGTTTCCTAGACCATAATGGTGGCAGCCTACACCCAATCCAAGCAAAGGCAATGTTTTATTCAATGCCTATGAAGAATGTGTTATCCTGGAATGCCATGATCACAGGCTATGCCACATCTTCAATCAACAAGGGAATGTTTGATTTGATACCACTGTAAAACATAGTCTCCTGGAACATGATAATCTTTTGATCTGGACAACAATGCTACTGGCATTTGCCTGATGGGGGCAAATGCTGGAGGCACAAGATTTCTTTGACAAAATACTAGAGGTGAATTTGGTGGGATGGATGTATTTGATTGCTAGCTACATTGACATTGGTAGCAATGACAGCTCCTTTACAAGCAAGAGCTAGACACAATTCCAAATAATTAATCAAAGTGTGTTGATTGATATTTGCGCATAGAAGGTACTGCAATCTATGTGATAGGTGTAAGTGACAAGGAATATTCTAAGCCTATTCTATAGAGTATGGTCACAAGCTCACATTTTTGGCACACAAAAAGTGACTTCTTAACTTGCTCACCCTATGAATTTGCAAAAGGATTGAGAGAAATGGCAACACAAAGTTAGGGTTTTAGGTGATTTGATGTGTGGAATTTGGAATAAGAATTTTTGTGGGATATGGGTGCCACTTTTACCACCAATTTTGCCACTGTCAACTTCATCTTCCTCATCAGTGCTTTACAATTAGTTTTTTTTGTATAAGTCTCTACTCAAATTATAAATTAAAGCAACTCAAGGCTATAAAACACAAATTCCCAAGTTGAAAAATGGAGCTTAAGGTGTGTTATGTGGTACTGGCTGAAATGGAAATCCAACAATTGTAACATACTTTTAACTAAAACTTTTAAAATTCTAACAATTGTAATATACTTTAAACTAAAACTTTTATTTTAAAAGTTGAGAGCAAGAATGGAACTCTCAAAGAAGCAATTGTGGAATAAGTATAGAGATAAAATAATGATTAATAGATTATTATGATAAGTGGGAATATCAAGATTAAAGTTTTAAAACACAAGGTTTCAAAGTGGAAGTTTTTATCAGTTTATCTTATAAAAGTTTCAACATAGTTACTTTTAAATATTTATGTTATTTTAATTTTTGGGATTTATATGTTTTACAAAAAAACATTAATTTTAAAAAACATTATCATACATTAGTATTGATTTTATGAAAAATTGTTTTGAGAATTTTTAAAATAATAGCAATTACCTAAAGTTTTTCAGCAAGTAGAGAAGATAACGAGTTAATTAAAAATAATTATTAACTAGCAATTTTATAAAAATATTTTTATGTGCACTATATAATAGCAAATATTCTATACCGAAATGGAATAAAATATTAAAAGTATAAATAAATAAAATTTAAAATTAAACATATATTTATAGATTTCTAACATGAATAAGTTATAATGTTTTACCACTTCCCACTAGCATTATGTTAATGCAAAATATTAAATACCTATTATTTAAACTTTTTATAATAGTTTTATTTTGTAATTAAAATTTATTATTTATTATTATTTTTGGTTTGAATTGGATTTATGTAATTAATTTTGTTCCATTTAAACTTATAATTTGATAAATCAGTCATATTTCTTATTTATATAATATTCTTGTTACTACTGAATATACTTACTATTACTATTAAATAAATTATTTATATGTTTCTGATTAATTTTTTTAATTATTTATTTAAATTTATATTTGATAAATTTAACTTATATATCCAACTACATTATTTTGTGGATTTAGTTAAAAACTTTAAACACTATATGTGTTACATTTTTTATTAATATATTAATCTGAGCAAAACTTATCAAGTGGACAAATTACATGGTGCCAAAACTTTATCAAGAGTTTGAAATTCTGTATTGATCTTCATAATTATAAATATTGCATTTGCAAGAATATTTATCATCTTAAATTGCATCTTATTCTTTAGCCCTTTAGTTGCATGTGGTTATAAAGAAGAACAAAAAAGTCAACAAAAAATATTGAAACCAAAGAATGTGATTAAAAAGAATAGTTTGAGACTATTAAACATTCATAGAAATATAATGATGTTATAATATCATTATATCTCACTATGGTGAAATTTTTATAAAAGTCCATTTGAAATTGCAAATGACATAAGTCATAAACTGAACTATCATGCCCCATGTATACATTGTACAACCATCACAAAAATATTATACACAAAAGTAATTTAAATGTGATTGTGTGCATAATAGTTTTCATACAACTCAACAAAAAAAATATGAGTTCAGTAATGTGAATAGATGCTTTGGTGTGTAAAGATTTAAAAACAACACATATATACATTAGTAAAATCAACTTTTGTTGGTAAATATTAGAAGGCCATTAAAAGATTTTAAAAGATGATAAAAGAATCATACCCAAAAATCAATAGCTACCTCAGGTTCAAGTTTGGAACGATACTGCGTGACCTCATAAATTCTAGTAGTTGCATTGGCAGCTCTGCAAGCATGGTTCGCCTCAGGTTCGTTTTATCTGTTAGAGCGTAAGGATTACATTAACAGATAATAAAAACTCTATTTTTGAGCTAACTTACTTCCCATGTCGCGAAGCGGAACAAACTGCACAATATCTCTTTCTGCAAGTCGACCGTCCTGCATTTTAAGGTAA